CCCTGCGTCAGTTGAGTGTTTGGTCTTCTTTGAAAAAAAATTACATTAATTCAATTTTGCTTATCATGTGCATGTTCTGGCTTGAAGAGAATCTGTATGTATGTATGTTCTAGTTTCTTTTATCTATATCTGTTTACACACGCATACATACATACATACATACACACACACAAGTAGATTAGTAAAGTTAATGATATAAAATGGCGAAATTCTTTAGCAAACAAAATTTTAAAGTTGCATTAACCTATAAATCACTCGATGAATGTTATGATCCTTGTTTTAATAACTACAAGCTATATAAGGTCATTTTTTCCACCTGCAAGTACTTTCAACTATACATTCAGTCATCCTCAGACATAGAAATTATTTTGTTTTTAGTCAAATCCAGGTAGTATCAGAGACGAAAAAATTAAATTCGAAAATTTTGTTTGCGAAAGGATTTCACCATTTTATACCATTAACATTACTAATCCACTTTTTGTATAAATGATTCATTGTAATATAAATGCAACTACACCACATATTTGATATGTATATATAGGTACCTCCAATGAGATCGCTAAAAAAAAAGCATAGCATGATGAAAAAAGACGCCAAACTAAAAATTTTATCGACTAAATGTTTGTTATTATTAAGAGGAAAGGTCAACAGTATTTTTTAAACATATTTTTTCCATTTTTAATCGTTCTAGCAGGTCCGAAATTTTCGTTAAAAATCTATTTTTTGAGTCAGCAAAAGTGACCATTTTTTCCATTTTAAAAAACTGGAAATCTGACTTTGAAATTTTTAAAATATCAATTATCATTTTTCAAAACTTATTTTAAGAAAATCAGAAATTATAATGTTTATTTAAAATATTTTGAACCAAACTTAACTTAGCTTTTTGTGCCAAAAAGATATAATTTGAAAATAAAACAAAAGCAGGTCATAAACTTTCGCGTCTCTTGACATGTGATGAATGATATATTTACGAATTCCATGAGGCTAATTTGTTCTACGGAAGGAGAAAAGTGAAATAATTTACATTTACGTGAACAAATTATTTACCCCTGATATTTTTAACAAAAAACTTTCAACGGTCTAATTTTGTTTTTTGTACTTAGCTTTCACCTTTACGTTTATGATGATTTATGGGAAATATATTGTAAAGAAATAAAATAAAACTGTTAAAGAGTGACATTAAATTTCATATTTCTTAAGAAAGGTATCTAATTAATTTATAGGTACCTTTCTTATGAAATTTTATCAAATTGTACATAAAATACTATAATTTTATGTACATTTATTACATTCTACTGTTATTTATATTTGCATTCATTTTATTATTAATTTTGATATTTCATTTATGGAAAAATGTAACTGAGATTAATATAAAAATAAGATCATATAAATTTCATAAGATGATACTAATACTTGTAGGTACCCTTCTCAGTTGAAATTGAAAAATCAAATTAACTTCTCCACACGTGTTTCGCAAAAAGTAAAGGCCTTAACATCGGAGAACAATGCCTAACTCAAATAACGCAACTTAATTATATTCTGGGTCTTCCGTATTTTATAATTACAGCTCGATTATAAGCACTAAATTACATTTCTTAATTACTGGGTATCTTCTGATTAGTCAAAATGATACAATTTATAACGCTAAAAAAAGATCTCATCTTTTAGGACACTTTAAAAAGCCGATGCGGCTTTTAACTAATTTTATAATATTTTAACAACTTAAATGTAAAATGTATTATAATTAATGAAATAACAAATAATTGCATTAAAAAATTCATTTTCATCGAAAATTTTTTTTTTTTTAGCTTTCAGAAAATATTGTCCATATTCATAAAAACAACTAAAAGCAAATAAAAGCATTTGAAATTAAATAATATCTTTGTTTTATTGAGTTTTTGTATGTTACAATTCAGAGCTGATTTTTGGTACTACGTATCCAATTAAAAACAAAAAAAAACATGATTTGCATTCCTCAAAGCCCTGTGCTTTTAATTATTGTAATCACTAAAACCGATGCGATCGAATTTCTAGCGTTTTCATAAAATTATTTATGGGGGGGTAATAAATATTTAAAAAAATTTTCTACCATGACTTTCATAAAAAACATATTTCTAATAATTTCGATAATCTGTGAATAGTTCCTGAAAGTTTCATTAACATCCGATAATTATTTCTATTTTTGCACGATTTTTCAAATTAATGTGTGTCATACCAAAAAACGTGCTAAAAAAATTGTCTATGTTATTTACTAGTTCCGCTGATACAAATAGAAAAAAAGTTTTTTAATCAAAATTAGGAATGTTCTAAAAAGAAGGAAATTATTTTAAAAATAATTAAAAAAAACTTTTGGTCTTTCCTCTTAATAATAACATAAGCATTTAGACAATAAAATTTTGTTTTCGGCAAGGTTGGCGTCTTTTTCATCAAGCTGTGCTCTTTTTTTAGCGATTTCGTGGAGGTACCTATGTATATATGTTGTATAAAGCACTATGACGCAATTCACTTCGTCAGAAATTTGGAAACAGCATGTTTCACATTCTTCGCCAGAGCATCCAATATGAACATTTCAGAGTGTTTGGGACGTTTGGGTCAGAAGATTGGGAGAGAGTTGGATGTGCCTAATTCTCATTATGAAGGTGTTTGGAGTGAGCACTAGTGATGGCTTAGGTATGTTTCCATTCAACATCCAACAGGGCTTCAGACACCATACGGAGGGTTGCTGAAAGTGTCTTGAGGAGGTAGTGCCGCCCTGGGTCATGAGAGTGGCTGCTGAAAGTTCCGTTGTCTGGCAACAGGACTCTTCAACATGCCACACAAGCAGGAGAATACAGTGATTTTTGTCAGATTATTTCTCCGGCCGCAGCACCCCTTACATGTGGCCACCTAACTCCCCAGACTTCAACTTCCCCACTTGATTATTATGTGAGGGGCGTACTTAAGCGAGAAACGAAAAAAACTCTTTAAACACCAAAGATGAACAGAAAGCTATGAATTGGACAGAATTCACCAACTTAAACAAGGAGACCGTACAGAAGACTTGTAGGGCGTCTGGAGGCTGTGATTGAAGCCAATGTCGATTTTATTGAATAAATTTACACTTTAATATTTCCAGATATTTTTGTGTAATATTGGTAAATATATCTGTTAAAATGAGATATCAGAATTATTTTCATTTTTGCGTGATTTAGACGACAATTTATCTATTGCATCCTATGATTCATCGAGCCCAGAATAATCACCTTCAAAAGAATGCAGAAATTCCTATTTAAGACTCATCAGTAGTGCGCATCCACGAGCGGCAATGTCATACCAACTATGCCACGGGCCGCGGTGACGACGAAGATACGAACGAGACGCGATATAACGCCGCTACTCAATCGGTTCAGCAGCGATACTCATCCATCTTGAGGCGCGGCTAAGGGTCAAAAAGCAGACTTGGCTCTTGGAGCACTGTTTCGAGGTTACCTCTGTACTTGTATATTAAAGATAGATAGATAGATAGATAGATAGATAGATAGATAGATAGATAGATAGATAGTGAGCTGACTTAGATGGATATTGAAGAGAATTAGATAGATAGATATGAATATGATCGAGATAGCTAGCTAGGTAGGTAGATAGATAGATATTCAACAATCATAGATAGATACATACATATATATATATATATATATATAGATAGATAGATAGATAGATAATCAGATATATTCGTAGATAGATACAGACAAACTCACATATACACATAGATACGAACAGACTTTAAGTAGACAGATGGATAAATAGATACGAACAGACTACGATATAAAAATAGATAGAGAGACAGATAGAAACTATGATAGGTAGATAGATAGACAGATAGACACGAATAGATTCAAATAGATAGATAGATAGATAGATAGATAGATAGATACGAACAATCTCTGAAGGATAGATAAATAAATGGGAACAGATGCAGTGATAGATAGATACGATCAGCCTCAGATAGATAGATAGATAGATAGTCAGTCTTATGTTAGATAAAAATTAGTCATCAATTTATTAATTTCGTATAATACAAAAAATAATTTTTTGCCAACAGTTTGAAAATATATCATCTTATTATCTCTGAAATTCCCAGTAAGTGTGGCCATTTGTTAGAACACAACAAATGGTTGAAACCAGTACAGGTCATCAAAATCCTGACCTAACGCTTCAAAGCGAAGGACACGTCCGTTTTAAGTTGAACTGCTTTCAACTAAATCACATCATACTATTCAAGCATGAGCCAAAGAATTTAGATTAGTTCTCTTAGATTAATCCATAGGGCACTGTTAATCGTGCGGGGAAAGATCAAGCAATCACTGGGGCTACTGACTGTCTTCGAAATTGTCACGCTTCTCGAAGACCGCTTTAAAAATTCTTTACCGTTTTCTAACGAAGCAACCTTGGACGACGTTCGGCTTTAGAAAGAACGATGAAAGCAAAGTTAATGGAGAAATCGCTGTCAATTTATTTGAGTTTAAATAACATTGAGATTAATTATAAATGGTCGAGAAACATTAAGAAAGTACAATCATTTTCCCTCTGGGAATATCAAAGAGACACGTCAAAGGAAACGAGTGGGTGCACAAAAAGAGAAACTGTCATTTTCATATTTATATATCATTCCGAAAAACCTCACCGGAATAGATGTTCATACGATTAAGAGAGGTGGTAGATTTTATGAGCGATTTTACTGATTGTAACAGAGAGTAAAAAGACTAGGGTAAACCAAGTAAAGGTCTACAAAGGACATACATGAGAATATTCCATTTGATATGGAAACTTTCATATAGGCTCAAACAAGTACTGATGCATCATATATTTATGCAAAAAGTGAGATAGATAGATAGATAGATAGATATTAGTATGCTGAGATAGATAGGTACATAGATATGAGCAGACAGACAGGTAGATAGATAGATAATGAATAGACTCAGATAGATAGATAGATAGATAGACAGATAGATATGAATAGACTCAGATAGATAGATATTATCAGACTGAGATAGATCGATATGAACAGAATGAGATATATATATATATATGTATATATACATACATATATATATATATATATATATATATATATATATATATATATATATATATATATATATATATATAGAGAGAGACAGAGACAGAGAATGAGAGAGAGAGAGGAAAATAGATTTGATCGATAAAGATGAATAGTCTCAGATATGAACAGAATGATTATATATATATATATATATATATATATATATATATATATATATATATATATAATTAACTTTTTTTAAAATACGATCCCATTATTACACAAGAATTACAATGATTCAAAACAAAACTAAAAAATTCAAATTCAATTTTATAATTAAATTAAAGGTCCTATATTTCAAACGAATTTTCGAATAACTTATTTTGAAATGTAGTGAGTTTTATAAGCTTTTAGAAATTTCTGTGTCGCGATGGAACCACATTTTTTATATCAGTTAATTTATAATATTTATACTCTGTAATATTTGCATTGAACACTGTTTTATAAAAATAAAATTATTAATAAGAACAACGGATTATATATCTTACTGTTCTTTCTTTTATTATAATATATATATATATATATATATATATATATATATATATATATATATATATATATATATATATATATATATATTCCATGGAATATTAGTAAGCCTTTATATATATATATATATATATATATATATATATATATATATATATATATAGATAGATAGATAGATAGCGACAGGGAGAAACAGGCAGAAAGATATGAATAGACTCAGATAGATAAACAGGTAGATTGATATTAGTCAGGCTGAGATAGAAAGTATTACAAACAGGATTGTTCTGGAGAACTTTGTATTATATCTCTTTAAATATATCCAAATCAGTATAATCTTCGTACACGCTTATTTTCTTCCATCATGTTTCTCTTTTGTTAGTCCACTGTGCAATATATATATATATATATATATATATATATATATATATATATATATATTCGATCGGGCTCTGACAAATGAAGAGCTATAACCGGTTAAGTCATTCTTTAGTATTTTTCCTCTTTTAATCATTTTTTTTTCGAATTGACAACTTCTGACTTTTTAGTTTTCCGCTTGTCCCTTTTAGTTACGTCTATTTATAATACATTATCACAATAATTTCATCAAAGAGCGTTTACAACGATTGGATAATTGCCAGCACAATCAATTTGCATGATTTGGATTGGTTTGGTTTATATTGTTTTACGGCATATCAACCTCAATGGGTTATTTAATGCCGACAACATTTTTAGGATGGATTCGTATGAATAGAATATGTATTATTTGGTTTAGATTAGTTTGGTTTATTTTGTTTTACGGTATATCAACCTCAATGGGTTATTTAATGCCGACAACATTTTTAGGATGGATTCGTATGAATAGAATATGTATTTCTTGGTTTAGATTGGTTTGATTTATTTTGTTTTACGACATATCAACCTCAATGGGTTATTTAATGCCGACAACATTTTTAGGATAGATTTGTATGAACAGAATATGTATTCTTTGGTTTAGATTGGTTTGGTTTATTTCGTTTTACGGCACATCAAACTCAATGGGTTATTTAATGCTGATAAATAATTTTTTTTGCTAGTAATATTTTGTTTTGTCAAAAATCTGTTTCTGGTAATATATTTCCTTCAAAATTGCTTTGTTAGTAAAATTTTTTTTTCAAAAAAGTATTGCTGGTAATAGTTAACTACTTGCCCATATCTGAGACCCTAACAGGTGCTACCACCAGGGGTCAGGGTGAACCTGGGAACACCAGCAATTAAGAGGTGGTTCCACGCTCTTCAAAACATCTTGATCAATGGCCTTGCTGCTGGACGTAGTTTATCGTCCTACCCAGGACACGGATGTAGTTTAACGTCTTACCCAGAACGCTTGTATGATTTGGAAGTTTACCTTTGTGGTTAAACTTTCCAACTGAAAAAAAATTGATAAAATTAAAGAAAAGTTTTCCGTTGTTGCGAAAGTATGTCTGAAACCAGTTCATACAAATTTTTCGTGAAGGAATATATATATATATAGAATTTTATTTTTTCCCGATTTAATTTAGGGAGTTCCTTACGTCCTTACATTCGCAGGAGCATCAGAATGTCTACCGTCGCAGAAAGAATGGGTGTGTCCTTTTCTGTACACACATACTTTTTTTTTTTAATCTAAAGCTTTCATTCTTGAAGACTGACTGTCAACCGATACGAGAGAGTACATTCTACCCTGCTATTCAAAATTGGCGTTTGGAAAACACCTTTCGCTTTCCTCTGCCACGCTCGCCTTCAATATGTCCTGTGAGTATCACATTTTCTACGCCCACTTTCCTTATTTCAACTCTGTATTTGTGAGGTTAGTTTTATGAGTACTTTTTGCTATCATGTTTCTCTAAAACATCGTCTTTGTTAACTTTTTTTCAGTCCATAGTATTCTCAGCATCCTTCTGTTGTTTCAGTTCCGGCCTTCATCTGTGAGGGATGATCCAGCTTTCTCTGGAATATAGGAGGATGGATATTATATAAACATCCAATTCTCTTTTCTTTGCTTCTCATGAAATTGTCGTGTCTTCCAGTCTTGCTTTGCTTTTGGGAAACAAATTCCGCTTTCCAAATACGTGTTCGAATCTCGGTGTCGCCTTTCTCTCATAACACTTCCCAGATATTTAAGTTTTTGCATTTACTCGATTTTAATGGTGATTACTCTGGACAAAGCTAAGCTATAACTGGGTATAACCCGGGAAGCGTTTACTATGGACAGGAAAAATTCTAATGCAAGGTGTCCCTAAAGTTCGTGTGAACTTTAAAAAATTTATAACTTTATTTGTATTTGCGATAGAAATAATCTGTAAAAAATGTTATAACGTTTAATGTACCTAGTTTTAAGTATAGCTAAAATAACTAATGTGATTTCAGGCATTTCTGTAAATAATTTGGCAAATATTTTCCGTGAACTGCCAAATCGTATTACCCTTTGTATTGCTAATCGTGGAGGACATGTGGAAACTTAAATAAAATTTCAATAAAACCTTAAAAATATAGATGTACTTCCTTCTAATCTTTTTTGCAAATTATTTCTATCGCAAATACAAATAAAATTATAATTTTTTATAGTGCATACGATCTTTATGGACACCCTGTATTAGACACTGTCGTGCTTCTTCAAGAGACAAACCTGGGAAAGAAAAATGAGTAACAGACGAACGTGTTCTCCTACTACATGAACTTAAGTGTGCTACTAGATTGGCATCTTGGTCCCACCCGTTTACTGTTGAAATAGTTAAATGCAACCACCACTTCTACTCCAATATTTTCTTTTCTCACACTTTCTACCTTGCTTCCCTAATCAATACAATCTTCAAAAATTTAATACAATATCAATCACTATCATCTCTATTCTTGAATCCCGGTCAACTTTTGTCTATTCTTCAATCCTCCCTATACTCAGTCTTTTCTTTCACTTTTACTTCCTGTAACTCCCTGCGAACTAGTGGCATTCCCGTCTTGCGTTAGGTGTAATGATTAAAAAAAAAATTACAAATAAAAATCAATCATTGATTTGCTGCTCCTGATTATAGGTTGAAGTTGGAAGATTAGAAAAGACTATTACAGGAGAAATCGTAGAGTAGTTATCGCATATCATGAATATGAAAGAATGAATGAAATAAAAGATCTATTCAGACGTTATTGGTGAATAACCAAATTAATGGGATGTAATGTTTCTAGCCTGTCGCTACGCTATTGTGACTTCCATATCAAAACATCAGACAAACGCCCATTTTGTAATTGGGACTCATAGGACATTGCCAGTTAAATCTAGGTATATTTTGTTTTACGGCATATCAACAACTATGTGGGTAATTCAGTGTGTTTACAGACAGTAAGATATTTATACATATCCCCTCGAAGTATTTCCTACGTAAAGATTTATGTTCTTTTATATATATATATATATATATATATATATATATATATATATATATGTGTGTGTGTGTGTATGTATGTATGTATGTATGCGTGTCTCCATTTGGTGTTCACGCCCACACACTCAAACACACACACACACACACACACACACACATATATATCTGATATATATTTGGTGTTCACACACACACACACACACACACACACACACACACATATATATATATATATATATATATATATACTATGATAAAATGATAATTGATCGTCACTCGTATTTGAGTATACCCGTCTACTAGGGCGGCTATGCAACCCCTCAGGCACACTTGTGTTTGTTCAACATTCACAGGGCCAACCATTGCCGAGCAGACTCTAGTTACAGTTTCCGGGAGAGAGCGTGTTAACTAGCATGATCTCTAATCTGAACAATACTAACACACTCGATCACGATGACTTGAGGCTTTGTATATATATATATATATATATATATATATATATATATATATATATATATATGTGTGTGTGTGTGTGTGCAAGACTATTCGGTCAGTCGAATCGAGTTCTCTCAGTCAGTGTCTTTATCTAAAAATAAATATGCTTAAATTCACCTTCGTCCCTGCCGTGCGCCAACGGTTTAGTGGTAGAATCCCCGACTGACGCCAATTCAGTCGGCTTTCGTTCCTAGCTAGAGCCAATCGGACGTCTTGCCACACTGATAAACTGTGATACAGCGAAACGGTCTGTTTGTGGATGACAATATATACATATAGTGTATCAGAAATGACAGTGTGGCTTTGTTCACGTCCTTCTGGGGTGCTAAGAGTGATGCTCACCAAATTTCCTTCAAATGTTATGCATTGGGTGTTGCTAATAATGAAGGACATGTTATGCCACTACACTTTTTCCACAAGGTCTTAGACTAAATTCTGCTGCTTAAATTGAGGTTCTAGAAACAGTTGTTAAATCTTGGATTGACAACATAGGCGTTACATATTCCAGCAAGACTCGGTTCCA